TGTGTTATAGTTATGTTTTTGTTTTTTTAACAACACTGTTTCTGTTATAATGTCAACACGTCTGATGTTGGTCACCTTAAAACCAGACCCAGTTCTGATTCTGAAGGTGGCATTTCACAACTTCTTCTCTGCTTTAATAAGTCAGAAAAAGAGGTGAAGAGTTGATTTGACATGCTCATTATAGATAGGGCTTGATCAAGTGACCCTAAACCTTCCCTTAGTTACGCTGCAGACTTGCAATAGGGCTGGTGCACTGAGTATTTCTTCTTCACTCACCGTGTGTTTACACAACACTATGTATTAATTAAATGGTTCTTATTAAGCTCTGGCTCTCTTGCCTTTTGTCCTGTCTTCCTCCCTCGGCCACCACCAGTCTGGGCAGATGGCTTCCCCTCCTTGAGCCTATTTCTGGTGAAGGTTTCTTCCTGGTAAAAAGGAGTTTTTCTTTCCCGCTGTTGCCTAGTGCTTGCTCATAGGGGGTCATCTGATTGTTGGGGTTTTTATTGGAGGTTTGTTCATTAATAATATAAAGTACCTTAAGGGGACTGTTGTGATTTGGATTTAATTGGATGGATGAATGAAGAATCTTTTAAAGACTACAAACAGTTGCTGCAGTGGACACTTTTCATTTTTCATACTTTGCTCCTCTCCGTGTCTGGCTGAAGTACCAAACCACGTATCACACACTTTGGACACTGCCTGGCAACAGGTACTCTTTGCAGGTAGACGGGCAGTCCATAGCTCCCTATGGTCTGGTACGGAGCTGCCATTGGAGAACCATGTTCAGCCCAGAGCTCAGACATATATTTTAGGCCACATAAGGAAATATATTGTCTGTATTTTAAAAAACAAACAAAAAAAACCCAATTGGGATACTACATTACCCATAATTCGGCTCAACAACCTCATTCCCTTAAGTGAACTGTAAAAGTGGTCCTAGAGTCTCTGTAGACATGACAAGACCGTTTAATCGCTGCAAAAAAAGATATCGTTTGATGTTCTTTGTCTCTCACCCAATTCCTGTGGTGCAGATTACCAGCGTGCTCTCTATGGCTGACTATGAAGAGGGTTTTAAAACGCTGCTAGCAGTGAGGAAAATGAGGTTCCCAAGCTTCTGCCGATGAGCATTGGGGGATGGGCTGCTATTAATGACGATGAGGGGCCTCCTTACCTGTAAGGTCAGTGACCTCTAGGTGAATGCTGCAGCGCTCCTTTTCCATCTAATCTTTGGCTGTATGTCCCACATATTTCTGGTAAGGATCCAATTACTTCTGCCTGGCTGACCTCTGACCTCTTCGTCACCAGTATGAACCTCATCTTCTGACCCCAACAGTCTTACCACTGTTAACCTTCCCCATCATTCACCCGTCTGTCCCTCTCCCTGCTATCATGATTCTATAAGGAGACCTCATCTCTGTGTCCCTACTGTAAAAGTCCACTCAACTTTTCTCTGTGACTTCACTTGATATGGTTTTATACACATTGTTAGTAAGTAAAATGCCATTAATCTTGTTTGGTTGTACAAAGAACAGAACAGCTGATTAGGTGGAGACTCATTTTCTCTGCCCTCTGATAAATTTACTTCTGCAGTCGTGTTCTACAGTTCCTGTTTTTCTGTATTTACAGAATGATCTTTGAACCTCGTTATAAGCTGCAGTCGATGGTTGTTAAGCCATCGCCGTCTCTTAATCACAACACAGATACCTGTTAATTACCAAATGAGTTCAAGTGTTTTTGCTGCTTAAACAAGGATTTGGGATCGATGCATTGCTTTGCTCGGGGTCGAGCAGTGAGCACTGTTGACCATTTAATGAAACGTTACAGGTTCTGTGCGCAGAGGCTGAAGGAAACGAAGAGCTGGGAGGATAAAGCGAAGGATGTATTAATAGGCAGCTGCACGGACGACACAGTTTGGGATTGGGTCAGGGATAAAGCATGAACTTGTAAACTCACAGAGGGGCCTCTCCTTCCTCCCTCCCTCTCGCTAACTTACTCTCGCCCTCCGTGGTGTCATCAGCTAGCAGAACTGGGCTCGATAGCCCAGGCAGGCTCTACGAGAGCAGCGATTACCCATCCTTTCTGATTCTCATCCCCAGCAGAGTTCACTCAAAGGTAATACAGTATGCATCCAGAGAGACACCAGATTTCCTCTGCCTTTGTTCTTTGACATCTCCTGTTTTGCAAATACTATATCCATTCTATGCTATTGGCATACATGTAATTTAACAAATATCACATGTACAATTCTATTACATAAAATCACAAAGAGGCATAGAATTTGTATATTATTCAGCCCCCCCCCCCCCCCCTTTCCTTTCTGCAACTGACCAGTAGCCATTAACGAGGTGCCCAGTTGACTTCAGGGTCCGATGCACCCCCCTGGCATCCAAGGTGTGGTCTCAATGGGCCGTTTTGCTGCGATCACAGCAGGCAGTGGGAGGTTAATCCCAAGAGAATGCAAGCTCAATCTTTTCCCGCCTCCAGCTTGCACCCGGGGCCCTCACATCTCCACTTGTATAATGGCCTGACGGAGCTCTGTGGTCTGTGGCCAACACCTCTTCAGATTTCACTTCTGCTTTCTTTAGCTCTGAGAATATTGTGACATTTTTCAAGGCCTGTACCCATTACAAAGAATAACCGAGTGGGTTGCTGACCTCTCACCTTTGTGCAAAGTCTAATTATAAGTATAAGCTAAGTATATGGAAGAAACTGAATACTTAAACACTATGTAAATTTTTGTGTTGTCCAAAATATAGAAAATGAACCGTAACCAGTCGTAGATATCATAAGCAGCAGAAGTGAATTTTAAATTATCAGCATGGCTCAGATATTACTAATAATTAATACTAATGAGAAACTCTAGCATGTTTTTAAAAATGTGTGCCTCCCATTGTACAGCTATGACAATTAGCCCCCCCGTTAAAACATGTTTTGATATACGTTTAGTTTGTTCGAGCACCGCTAAATAATTTCAGATGGCAGAATATGCATCTGTTTTTCCCCGGAGTCTTTCGCACATATCTGCGCGTAATTAATGTGGATTTTGACAGATGGAGAAAAAAAAAAGTCCTCGTAATAGAGAAGGGTACATGCCACAATGTGTGAAGTGCAAGCATGGAGGGAGCTTCTTGTATTATTTGCTGCCCATGCCAGCTGGACCCGACAGATTCTTACAGGTAGAAATTCGAGCAAGAAATATATGCAGGAATCATTTAAATTCAGTGCCCACCATAAATAGGCGGTGTTTTTGTTGTTATGGTTGGAAATTAATGTGAAATGTTCTCAGTGTTGTTCTAAATTTGGCATTCAGAAGACTAAACCTGTCCCGTTCGGTGTCTTTCCATCCATGGTAACCTTCGTGAAATATCCAATGAAGTGCAATTTCTTTCAATGGTAATTGTGACTGGAGGTCATTTTTAATTTAAATGCTTAAAATTCCCCCCCTTTTAGTCATTGTGTGCACGCGTGTGTGTCTACGTGCACGCGTGTGTGTGGTGTGTGCATCTGTTGTTAGAAACCATGTTATTTCTGAATGCATCAGGGTCTGACTTAAATATTAGTGTAACTACATTATCACAGTTTCTTTGCCTGGTAGCAAATATGTACAAATGAGGATTACAACTCTTGAGAAGGCAACAGGTCATGGTTGGTAAGCTGCCCGGGGGGGGTCACTGATATAGAGTCACTTTTGACAGGCTGTGGAGGAGGCTCTATTGTTGCTGGTGTGTCTGGATGTTACCTGCAGGCACTATCACTGAGACTACAGTATTATCCTATTATTAGGCTTAGTTGTTTACGCTTATTACTGCTTGTCAGGTAGGCAGAGAATCCTTCTGAAAATGAGCATCTGCAGAAAAAATACATGACTACTTCTTTATCTCATTCAAGTACATCGGCTTAGGATAATTTTCACAGGCCTGCACGAATGTATTGATAGGACACAACAAACAGAAATGTAAGATTTATGTTTACATGGAAAATGTTTTCCTGCACCGACTTTCCCAACAGTGTTATTTGGCAGCCGACGTGAGAATGTAAGAAACGATGCATCTGTTCTCTGTGTATTAAAGCTGATAGCATTATGGTATTGCCTCTGTAGGAAGCACGATATACAGTAAGGGGGACAGCGAGGATTGAAACAGCCTTGATTAATGTCTCTGTTTGTAGAGGAAGTGAACAAAATAAAAAAAGCCCATCATATGGTCTGGCAGATTTTGGGCACTGGACCAGGGATGACAAATGTGCTCTCGCAATAATTCAATCTGCTCTCATAATTCTCTAACTTTTAGGGACAGACAGAATGAAGATTTTCCGGCAATTAAGCCGCCAAGTCAACGTCCAATAACTGTGATCAAGTGTTAGTTAAGATGCTTTTTCTCTCACTTTATCCATTGACAGATTGAGGGGTATAAAGATACTTGGTAAGTGGCAGAAAGTTACTGTGAATATGTTAACGAGAGGATTTGGTATCTGATCCAAAACGTTGTCATTTTGTTGATGTCACAGTAATGATATGAAGTTTTAAGAATAACTGTGAAGGAACAGAGCTCACTTGTTGGAAGAATAAGTTTGTGATTAGCACAGCTACTGTATTCCAATGTGTATCATTGCCTTTTTAGGACAGCTTTCTTCATACTTTGAGCACTTTAACCTTGGCAGCTGAATTAAGACTGTTAACACAGAAGAAAACCCACCCTTCTGGCTTTGTTTGCTGTCTGCATACATTTTACGAATAGAATAAGAATTCACACAGCATTAAATAGGGTAACGTAAAGCTTAGAAATAAAGTGTGTGTTTTTGAGTATCTAAACCAACTCCAGTTGTCAAGCCTTGGGCGACGTAATGTGCAAACGGCACATGGCTGTTTAGGAAGCAGAAGGGATCAGGTACTGCTGTTGCTCAAAGTGCCTCTGGGCCAATCACAGTGTGCGTGGCACTGCGGTAAACACTTTGTCTGTGTTAAATAAATCAATAATATATGAATCTCCTTCTGTTTGCAGAAAAAGACGTACGTCTTGGTGATGGTCGATCCTGATGCTCCAAACCGCAGCAAGCCAACATCTGCTTACTGGAGGCACTGGTTGGTCGTGGACATACAGGTACCCTAAGACTCTGAAAAATTGCGCTGCTTTAAGGAAAAACAAGACTTGTGTTTTGGTGATGGTGACACAGGCCGTGTTTGTTATTGGATTAGAAACTCATGGGGTACAAATTTATGATGTAGCGCGTGGCTGTTTTAAAAAAAAAAATCTTGAAAATTGTGCATTTTCATAATCTCGGGGTCTCACTTGGCATGTGTAGTGTTTACATCTGCACTGGGGCCGATCGTAAGGCTGAAAAATTATGAATGGTTTTTAAGCCTAACTTGGTTCAAAAAAAGGATGCCAAGTTTGAAAAATGTTAATTTTTCATATCATGTATCTTGTGCAATAAATGCCTGTGACAAAAGTGTGGGAGTAAGTCTTTCTAAATGGCTGTGAAAGTTTGCAAGGCCCTGTCAGCAGCAATTTCCCTCTGCTGCAGAGAGCCTGGGATGTGTCAATGCAGGCGTGTGAGACCGAGATTGAGGAGAGCAGCATGCGAGGCGCACACTCTTTTCTCCCATAGAGCTCCAGTCCCTCAGCTCCCCCTTCAGTGGAGAGATCTTGGCAGAATGTCCTCCCTTCATCTGTTCCCCCAGGCAGAGCAGCTCCCCCAATGATCCACACTTCTCCATATTTTACACCCCCGAAATGGGCACAGCTCCGATCCCCTTATTTCTCTTCATATTTCACTCCTTTTTATCCGTTCGTTTGTGTGTTTTCACATTCTTGCATTCTAACGCCAAATGCATGTTGAGTTGTTGATTGCCTCAAATATTTAGAGGTTTGCCGACATTTTATAATCCCCCGGTAACCGGGAGATCAACTCGGTAGATTAAGACTAGTGGTCTAAGAAACAAGCACACAAAGACGCTTCAGCGATGTATCACTGCTGCCATTTCGTTTTTATAAGGCGTGGTCGTACACTCAGTAAACGGCACATTGATTTGAAGATCCAAATGTGATGTATTTGGGATGTATATTCTGGAAAACCTGCAGTAAACATAGACTGTGCGTTCTGTGATTGAGCTCATTGGTGAGCGTTGGTTTATTTAACCACACTTTGGCTTACTGTAAGGAATCTATGAATATTTACCTCACATTTCTCACATACATCAATGATATAAAAAAAGAGAGTGATTTGCACTTTGTAAAATTGTATTAGGCATCACCTTTGCTTCTTATTTTTATGCCAATAAAGTCTGCCTGGCTGCACGACTAGCTGTGAATAAACAAATGTCTTTCAAGTGCTCAGACAGAGCACATTTTCTCTAGCAATTCAATTTCCTGTCACTTGTGTGGGTGTTGACCTGCGTTGCCCATGTAGGGATTGGCCAATGTGATGGGATGTTTTTCTGATTGTGACTGGTGGTTGGTCAGAAGGGTTAATGAGCCTTTTGAGTGATGCCAACTGTAGTGGGAGGTGTTTAATTGACCAGGGTGCCTAGGTGACATCATAAAATCTCAGTTTTGGTTTTGAAGTGCCGATGTGAATGTATTGGATTTTGATTTGGTTCAGCGGTTTTGACAGCAATGTCGGTCAATTTTTGAATGAATGCATAAGTATATGTAATTCAGAAAGAAAAGACTAGAGTCACAGTCAAATATGATTGAGGATTTTTTTTAAATTTATTCTCTGCATTATTGTTTCATGTGAATTTAAAATAAAAAGTTCTGTGTGCTAATATTTGACATTCACTAGTTATTTGTAACAATGTGTTTGATGGTAGATTACTCTGAAAGGAAAGTTTCTTTAGCTGAAGTCAGGGGTCATGCTTTCAAATGTCAAAGGGATCAGTGTTTTGATCCTCACTCGTCAGATGGTGTGAGCTGCAGCAGCCATAGTCTTTTCATATATATTCATTAGCACAAGGTCATGCAATCTTGCCCTAGATGAGGATGTTTCCATAATTAGTGTGGAGTTTTTTTGTTTTGTTTTTGTTTTTTATCCATATCCGGAGTTATGAAGAAAAACATTTCTTTAATTTAACTGAGAATAAAGTGAGGTCAGGCTGGACTGAGCAGCAAGGCGCTACAGATTTACACCGATATCTCCACCAAAGTCTCATTAGAGAATCAATGATAGCACAGCAAAGACCTGCTACAGTACCTTGTGTTTAGATAGGTTCCTCACCTTACCTTGCTCTGCATGTTCAGCTGTTCACCTATCGAAACATGCTGCTGAGGGTTTTTTTTTAATTACGTGACTGCTGTGTAAGACGCACTTGAGAAGGATACTTGTGAATCAGAGTGTGATCATTATCAGGCCGACCAGACCAACCAAGTAGCAGATGTCTTTCTTTTGGAATGATTATCAATAGAAATCTTAAGATAATGACATTGTGTTGTTGCGATTAACATATTTGCCTTGTGCATAAAAGGTCTCTGGTTTCAGACACAAAACCAGCTTCAGGGGTCACAAGCTGGTGTCGGTCCAAAGCCCTGCTGTAAAATCTGTGGCACATCCAAGTGTGGTTTACTCAAACCAGAAAATACAGCTCAGTCCTGATTTTGCTAAAGCTCAGTTCAATTCAAATTTATTTATATAGCACCAAATCACAACATCAGTTGCTTCAACAATCAGACAACTTCTTGTGAGCAAGCACTTGGAGACAGTGGGAAGGAAAAACTTCCTTTTAACAGGAAGAAACCTCCAGCAGACCAGACTCAGGGAGGGGCGGCTATCTGCTGCGACCAGTTGGGGGTGAGGGGGAGGGACAAAAGACACACTGTGGAAGAGAGCCAGAGACTAATAACAACTGTGGGCCAAGCTAGTTAAGTTAAATGGGGGGAAAAAATCCTGACAGCAGTTTTGATACGTTGATAAATGAGAGAACACATCCGTATAATTATGAGTCTGCCTGCTATCAAAGAACCAAGTGTGGGATAATAAACCAAATTACTAAAGTGTGGGTTTAGCTAAACTGAGATTTAGGAAACGACTTGCTTCAACTATTTGGCTTGGATTGTAGCTGTGCTTTAAAGTCTGTGTTAAACAAACAGCATTAAGTCAGATTCTGGTTTTAACTACGCGTTAAGTAGTCCCTCCGTTTTAGCTCCTTTGTCATTTTTCAAAATAAACCCAACTGGGTCGAGCTGTTATTTGTGCCTGACACAGTAGGAAAAAAAAAGCCCAAAATAAATGTAACTATATCCAACAGCATCAGCAAACATTTATAAACATGCCGAACAACTGTACAAATACAATTTGAAGACAATCATATTTTAATGTTTGTCAGGTGTTAAATCTTTTATTTAACTGTGTATCACATATCACATCTTTACTTTTGGCTGCCAAGAACAATTCACTCCAGCAATTAAGTGTAAACTGTGTGGCTGGGTGTCTTGTCTTCTCTCACCAGCTGTCCACTTTTCTGTGAGAGCTCGCATTATTAGATGCTCTATATGCATTTTTCATTGCGACTGCCCATTTTCCCTGACCCCCTGAACAACAGTAACAATCATTTAGAATCTTCTGCAGCACACGCTGGGTTTTTTTTTTTTGTTGTTGTTTTTTGGGGTTTTTTCATCAATTGTGGACAATTACCAAAATAACCATCAACAGATTGTTGTCTCGCTCTCGAAGTCGAATTCCAGATTGTGAGCCTCTCCCTCCCTCTCTTTGCTCTCCCTGAGACTAAATCAATACAGATGTTCGGGTACGGACTCGCAGCAATAATTACTATAACAAGCAAATCATTAGTACCTGAATAGAGCTTATATAAATACTGCACTGGGTGTTACTTTTACTTGCTAATACTCTCATTATAGTTTTTGGTGCATGTTGAGTCAACATGATGCAATATGAAGTTGCAAAGCAGTGCTACAGTTAATGCACTTTTGCACTCACTGTTTAGAAAGAGATAAAAAAAAAAGGTTTTTATAGATAATTATAGCCAGACCAATATCATCAGCTGATATTCAGGCAGCAGATTGTCCGATATGGAATGATATTTAAAAAAAATATTCTTATAAAACATGGTGCAGGAAAGATTATTTAAAATGTTCTCATCTAGTTCATTGTGCAGCAGAATGCCTGCAACTTTGTTTTCAATGCTCCATACATGAAGACTGATGTCCATGATGTCCCGTGCCCCTTGCACTTTGAGCTGGGATACACTCAGTATATTAAGTCAGTGTCAGTGACTTTGCAGTATTTTTAGCATGCAAAAGCAATACAGAGATGATTATTGGATTTTTCAGAGCTCCAACTTTTTTCTGCAGTTATTCTACAGTCTGTTTATAGCCACCAGAAGCAGAAACACTAAGGCTACCATGCAGCAGCCATCATCCAAGCTCAGATACATTTCTTTAAACAAGACATGAGATTTACGACCCCTCGTAGCCTGTTTGGACTCCGATCACTCTGTCCTGTTTTGAGGATTGGAAGCCATCACATATCAGCTTCCTCTTCGTGACTAATCGAAGGCCAGTTGCATGCACATCCCTCGTGCATTCGCGATTATGGTGCATGAGGGACTTGCATGCTTTAACATCCATCTCTGTTGTAGTGGCTCCCAAAGCAGGACACTGCCTGCGTTCTGCTGCTGCTCAGGCAAATACAAACAGTGAAGTATTGTGACTGTGTCAGACCAGCTGGCTTTGTGTTTGTGAGTTCTGAGGCCTGCAGAGATCATCTGCTCCACACCTCAAGATGTCCTTTATCTGCAAACTATTAGACGTGCAATGCCTCGCAGCATTTCATTCACCATTTAGCTCTTGAAAGCATTAAATTTTTAGCATTTTCTTTCTTTTCTTTCTTTTTTTTTTTTTTTTTTTTTTTTTTTTTTTAACTCTAAACACCTCATCTTAAAGGACCACAAAAACACAGAAAAGAGGACAACAGTTGCATGTTGGCACAGACTGTTTTGAAACAACAACAACAGATTCTCGTTGTACTTATTTACCATTATTGTGAATCTGTTTAGTGTGTGTCTTTTCAGGAGATATTGTGTGTTGTACATGCACTGAGACATTTCTGCCTGTGCACTCAGTGATGAGTCTTTATCCAAAGTTTA